ATGTTTGATATCTAATGCTTTCTTATGCTGTTTGTCCTTTACTTGCCGCAGGTGATCTTTTTCAAGTTAAATCATAATAATACAAATACAAATACGATATCGATAAAGGAAATAAAAAACCATAATGATAAGATATGTTGATAATAATGATTGTGATTGATTATGGTTATGATTACCATCATCATTATATTTTTTCTCATTAATATCATTATCACTATCATTATTATTATAATGATTATTTTTATTTTCATAATCATCATCATCATTATTATTGTTGTTGTTATTTTTGTTGTTGTTGTTATTATTAATATTATCATTATTATCATTATCATCATTATTATTATTATTATTATTATTGTCATAATTATTATTATTATTATCATTATTATTATTATTATTATTATTATTATTATTATTATTATTATCATTATTATTATTATTATAAATATTATCGTCATTATCATCATTATTATCATTATTATTATCATTATCACTATTATCATTATCATTGCCATCATCGTCATCATTATTATTATTATTATTATTATCATTATTATCATTATTGTTGTTGTTATTATTATCATTATTATTAATATTATTATTATTATTATATTTATTATTATCATTATTATTATTATTATTATCATTATTATTATCATTGTTAGCATCACCATCATCATCATCATCATCATTATCATTATATATTTCATTATTATCTTTTTCATTATTATCATTATCATTATCATCATTATCATCACTAGTAGTAGTATTAGTAGTTGCGGTGGTAATGCTGGTGGTAGTAGTATCATTATTATTATCATTGCCAATAGTACTAATAGCAGTTGTTGTAATATTATTACTATTAATATTTTCATTCTTATTATTGTTATTATTATAATCATCAATATTGTCATTATTATTGTTGTTGTTATTATCATTTTGTTATTATCATTATCGTTATTATTATTATTATTATTATTGGAATTACCATATTATTACAATTAGTAGTAGTAGCAGTAGCAGTAGATGCAGTAGTAGTAATGTTATTTTATTATTCTTATTGTTAACTAATGCAAAACGGCCTACTGTTAGACTGAAATAGTAAATGTGACGCGATCCGCACATAGGCCTAGTGTAGACCATCGCAAAAGTATAGATGGCGCATTTGTTGGGAAATACAGAAGCGTAAATCCAAATATATACATTTTTTTGTTCTTTTTCTTAATATTTGATATAAATTGCTAATTGTTGCTAACAATCGAAATAGAGGAAGTATGCAGTTATCTCTCTGTATATTGGCAACAATCGTTATTAATATTGGAAGTTTACTAAATTTGAATGAAATCTTTTACATAACATATTTCTTTGCATGTCAGATTGTCCAAACCTTTCTGATCCTTGCGTGTTCGTTTCAGGAAAGTGGCGGATTTTGATTGACAAAAATCCAAATATAGGATAATAAACTCGATATTTAAAAAAATCGTTGCTCCTCTGTCGCCAAGGATATTTCAGTCCCTATGGCCAGATCAAAAGATATGCCGACGTGTGAGAAATATTACTAATGATAATGATGATGATGATAATGGCAGTGATAATGCAAATAACCGTGGCATGAAAATAACCTTGGCGGCGTAAAAAATGAAACATCTCTAATACTAATTGGCAAATGAAACAAACAGAAATGCAAACAGTAATGTTGAGCAAACAAATGAACATAGAGTAACAGTTACTGGAATCGAGTATGAAAGAGAATAGATACGTCACCGGGTAAGGTAACCTATATAAGCTTTCTGTTTTAGCTTTTTGTTAAAATGGTCAGATTATTAGAAGAACAATTATGATAATTGCGGTAATGATTATGATGGCAACATTACTAGTGACAATGTTAGAAAAAGATGGTTGATGTTTTGAATGAAAATGCTGATTGCGAGTCCACAGGAATAACGCTAAACGCGCGAGTGAGAAAGGAAGAAAGAGAGAGAAGCGGAGTGAGAGCGATTCATTTGTTCGGCCACAATCAGAGGCGAAGGAGGTTTGATTGTTTGCGTTTCATATGAAAGAGACTCGGCTTGAACTTCTTGACACTGATGCCAGGATCTCAGGTGAAGGCAGCGAGGTGTGTACAGTGCGCCAGAATCTTTTCTTCGCGCCTGCACTGCAGCTGCATCACGCTAGACGCCATCATTACACCTCGAGGAGCCTTTCAAATGTAAAAATAATGAAGGGGTAGAACACAGACGTTCTCAAACACACAGGCGCGGCTCTGATCCTCCCTCGCCAGCTCGCCTCGGCCACGCCATTAAATCCGCGCGGGATGGAAGACGGAAGCAAAATGTTTGTTGTCTCATATTCTCACGCGTCAGCAACTTTTCGCTCTATAAATGACAACAGCGATGGTTGTCCAACTAGTAGTAATGGTGTCTATGGCGGTGAACTGGCGAGGGCGGTTTCGGGGCGGAGTCTGGTGACGATGGCGCGCTAGCAAAGACGCGCCCTTCGGCTAATATATTCCTGCTTTGTTGGGGTCGCCTGAAGGACGGGTAACGGGCGGTAATAAGCGCCGGTGCGTGAAGGAGCTCGAGTTCGCAGACGTGAAGCTGCAGCCACGACGCTCCCATAGATCAGCGCCTTTAATGTCCGTCATGCTCTTAATGCCACTCGTCTGCTTCAAACACAGAAAAGGAAATATTTGGACATCTTCTCATGAAAGGTCAAATGTCACCGTGTATGAGAAACTACTTTTGTTTCTCAGAAAATCTAAAAGTTTTGGACAAGGGGAACGAGTCTGCGTTAAATTGTTGACCATCTTAAATTGTCGGAGCCACAGAATCACGACGGCAATATCGTAAAGTGTAAAATGACAAAACGTAAGAATAATGTGCAAGTTTACGTCAACGGAGATGTAAGGCTTGATACTACGGGGGAATTTATATATTTGCCGTAGGAAGGTTTCGCTCCGTCTTGTCTACGTATGTCGTGTTCCTTTGATATCTCTTTTTTATCAAAAAAAAAAAAAAAAAAAAAGGCGGGCGGTAATCACTAGCACTTTGTTCTGCAGTGTGATGCAAAACGGCAATTTCTGTACTGATCTAAATTATCCTGCTTTTAGTATATGACACAATATAGTGTTGTGTCTTGGCTCGTTATTAGGGTTGTTTATGCGGCAACTTCGCCGAAACAAAATTATTATTCTTTTCACCACCGAAATTAGATTTCTCTTTGGATATATATTAACCATAATATATAGCTCCAGGTTAAATGTTGAAAAAAAAAAAAGAATTGCATCAGCATAACTCACGCGCATTTGTCTTTTGTTTTTGTTTTGTTTCCACGTCGCATTTGGGTTTGCTTTCTGTGTATTTGTTTGCTTCGGGTCGCGAACGCTATTGTACCCGAAGCGGCTTTGTCTGGCTCGCCTTTGTTGGGTGACCGATACGCGGGCCGGCGCGTCTAATCATTCAATGGCTGTGTGGTTAGCCGAATCAATGCAGCAGGGGCGTTTGTCGGTGATATATATAAGCATAATGCGTACAAACACATACCACATACACACGTGGATGTGTAGATAGATAAATAGATAGATTGATAGATAGATAGATATATGCATATATACATATTCATCTTTAAATATTTATATGCATTATATGTATATATATGTGTGTGTGTGCGTGCGTGCGTGTGTGTATGTGCGTGTGTGTGTGTGTGTGTATGTGTGTGTGTGTGTGTGTGTGTTTGTGTGTGTGTGTGTGTGTGTGTGTGTGTGTGTGTGTGTGTGTGTGTGTGTGTGTGTGTGTGTGTGTGTGTGTGTGTGTGTGTGTAAGAAGAAAATGAATTTAATAATTTGGGAAGGCCATTCTTCACACAAATTTACCTTTTCAAATATGCATACACTCGCGCATACTGCATTTTCATAAACATATATCTATACAAACTATACATCTATATATATACATAAAAAATGTAACGGTTTTCCTGCGCTTGAGTCTTTGAAAGTTCAAACTCCACAGGAAAAATATTTCCTTCTGGTCGCAGGTGTAGCGAGCTTCCTGCACCGGGGCTCTTTAAAGAATCGAGGCTGATTGGGAAGTGAATGGCTCAGGAGAAGAGGCTCTTCGGCAGGCTGGAGCCCTAAGAAGGTTAGGCTCCAAGGAGGCGAGGCCGGGACGTGCGAGGCGAGGATGAGGCGAGAGCCGCGAGTAAGGCGGGAGGACGAGTGAAAGGAGGAGGGAATGCGAGATGCGCCAGGTGGCTGGCGGGGTGAGCGGGGCGGAAAGCCGGAGACAAAACGCTGGTTTTACTTGCACAGTTAGAATAAACAAAGACAGCCAGAGCGACAGACTGCGCATTCCTTGGCAGACAGATGACTGGGAGAAGAGGAGAGGCGAGCGTTTGGCGCTCTTAGTGAGCGGCGCATAATCAATGTGCAGGGCGGCCATGTGTTCCAGCTGCTGGCGCCAAGCACAACAAAATTACGTGTTACAGAGGAGACNTCTCTCTCTCTCTCTCTCTCTCTCTCTCTCTCTCTCTCTCCTTCCCCTCGTGCACATACACTCACTCTCCCTCTCTATTTCATTTTCTCTTTTCCCCTCTTATCTCTTTTCCTATCTTTCTCCCTTTTTCTCCTTAACCCCTCCTACGCTGCATATATTTTTCCCGTTCTTGAGAGAGGAAGAAAAATCAATATAAACGCAATAAATAAATAATTAAAGATTCAGCGTTTAAAACTTATGTATTACATCATAGTACACACTGTAGTACATTTATTCTCGTTTATCAAATTTAATTTCGTGTTTCAGTACATTTTTTATTTTCAGTTATACGTTGAAAATAACATGTTATCCGATTCGGTTTTATATTATACATAAAGTATATTATTACTTTGTTAATATTTTCGTTTATATGATAAATAAAAATCGATAGATAAAAATGAATATGATTATCGAACTCTCTGGACCGAACAAAAGGAAGGAGAAGGAATGGAATAGAGGAAGAGACGGTGAGATAAATGAGATGTGATAAATGAAAATAAAAAGGAAAATCTGAAGGAGGATAAGAATATGGATTAGAATAAGGATAAGAAGAACAGGACAAGGAGGAGGAATTAGCATACAAGGAGGAAAAGGAGGAGGAGAAAGAAGAAAAGGAGGAAGAGAGGGAGGAGGAGAGGGAGGATGAAAATGAGTAGGAATAGGAGGAAGAGAAGAAGGAAGAGAAGAAGGAGAAGAAGTAGGAGGAGGAGAAGAAGGAGGAAGAGAAGGAAGAGGAGAAGGAGAAATAGGAGAGAAAAGAGAAGAAGAAAGAGGAGGAAGTGGAGACAAAGAAGATGAAGAAGTAGGAAGAGGAGGGAGAGAAAAAGAAGATGAAGAAGAAGAACAACAACTAGAAGATAACTATAATGATGACGAACAACAGAAAAAGACAAAAGAACAAAGAATAAGAAAGAAAATAGGAAGACAATGAAGATAAACACAACTCACAACGTAAACTTAGACGCCAAGAACACAAACAAACAAACAAAATCAACAAATAGAACCACACCTGCACCGTATAACAATAACACCTGTGATAAGGATTCATAGGCCTAACACACAGCTAGGCCTCCTGTTCTGCACATCTGTTCTCTTCTCTCTCCTCTCTCCTCATTTCTGTCTTTCTGATAATGCTAATTTGATTATTTTCATTATTATCATCTTTATCAGTATTGTCATTATCATCGACGTCTCTCTGATGATGTTTTTGTTATCATTTTCATTATTTTCATCCTTATCAATATTATCATTATCATCATCATCTCTGTGATAATGCTATTGTTACTATTTCATTATTATCATCATTTTTATCATTTTCATTATCGTCGTCATCATCATTAATATTATTACTTTTATCATTATTATCATCATCATCACCAGTATCATTATTACTATGACTTATCGTTATTATTACTGTCCTTATTATTTTTGGACTTTTATTGTTAATTTTCCTGCATTTTTTTCTTTATGCGTTTATTCTCGTCTTTTGTCTTTCTTATCCTAGTATACTTGTCCCTTTGAATTTGCTATCTTCTATCTTTCTATCTTTCTCTCTCTCTCTCTCTCTCTCTCTCTCTCTCTCTATCTATCTATCTATCTATCTATCTATCTATCTCTTCCCTCCCTCTCTCGCTCACCTTCTCCTTCCCCCCCACTTCTCTCTCTTCCCTCCCTCTCGCTCCCCCCCTCCCCCATTTCTCTCTCTCTCCCCATCTCCACACTCTCTCTTGCTCCCCT